CTGCGGACAGGATGTGAACGGCCGGGAACTCAATACGTACTGAAAATGAGATCATCATGGTGTCACTGATTGAAAACCCTAAATTAGGATAGAAAACGTGGCATTTCCGGAGAGCCGTGCAGAGCTATGAACGGATGGACCGTCAGCAAGATCTTGATTGATGTAAGAAAAAGCACAGAAGAAATGAGTGTGCACTTAGCAAGCAATAGGGAATCATTTGACAATTGATTGAATATATAAATTTGACAATTGATTGATTATATAATATGAAGTTATGAGCTGACAAATGGACTGACTGGAAAAAAAAAAAAAAAAAAAAAAAAAAAAAAAAAAAAAAAAAGAGTGGGACTCATCCAGAGGTTTCCGTCGACTCGAGAGTTCTTGTGGTAATGAGCCCTTGAGCTTTACAGGCCAGCCCTGTTTTCACTCGGAAAGTGGGCTGGAAAGTTTCCCACGCCTTGCACACCTGTCAGTGATGAAAATTACTTTATGAAGTTCGAAGTTTGAACTGGAAAAAAAAAAAAAAAGGTTTGAAATGATTTTAGCCCTTAGAACTTTTGCGAGGATTTAGTCCCTTGGCAGTGTCTGAGAATGCCGTGCCCGCCCTAAGTGAAGGCGGGCCTGCAAATATGTGCCAATGCCTGTTTATAGGCCTACGAGACCAGGCGGAGGGGCCCAAGCAGAGCCTGTTGGAACCCCTATGTGGGCATGGCTCTTCGACGAGGCCTTGCTACGAATTTGCTCCTCAGCATGCCCCTGCAGGGCCCTTTCAGCAAGCATGAGCCCGCCCTACGTGAAGGCGGGCCCTTGAATTTCAACATGGCCTGAATTCGTCAATTTCGGCAAAGTTTGGTGGGCGCCAGACAGTTGCCATGCGCCAGTTGGTTACATCCTCCATACTCGTGAGAATCAGAAATAATTCGTGAGCCTTCTAGGCTCTTCCAGCCGCACAGGCTAAGAAGGGAGAACCTCACCTTTACTCCTGGGTGGGTTGGGCGGGCCCAACCAATTTGGTTGCAGGCCACTGTCTGAATGGGCCTGGGCGCAGACACTTTGGCCCGATTGGAAGCTACTGCAAATACACGAGGCCCAGCCAGGCAGCAGACTGGGCCAACACTTTCCATAAAGGAATCCATAAAGGAAAGAGCTCGCCACTGGTGGAGGCATTCGGGCACTAGGCAGTGCATGCGGCAGTGCTGCTTGAGCGTGCGCTCGCAGGCTGTGCGNCGCCACTGGTGGAGGCATTCGGGCACTAGGCAGTGCATGCGGCAGTGCTGCTTGAGCGTGCGCTCGCAGGCTGTGCGCTGTGCACTAGTGCTAGTTGCCAGGCAGTGCGCGCGGGCGCTGGAAGAAGGCAGGGCGCTGCCCAGCCCTACATAGCCAGGGCTTGGCTTGGACAGCCAGTGGAGGTGGTGGTGGTCTTCGTGCATGAGTGAGAAGACATGGGAGGAAGACAAGGATAGGGAGAGAGTGAAAGAGATGAGGATGATGATGTGAGGGCACGTACCTGGTATTGGCGATGGTCTGCATTGGTCGACGTCTTCAAGTACGTCGGTGGCTGCTGGTGTCAACAGTTGCATTGTCAATTCGTAGGCAGGAAGTAGCTGTGTAGGGAGTAGCCTAGGCGCCGAGCGCCAAGTAGGGAGAGGGGGCCTGGATACGTATGTTGGTGCGGACGAGAGTAAGCTCTCATTGACATTCGGTTTCAGTGCTTCGATTCTCCATTGGTATAATATTGGTGCAATGCTGCTTATCTGGACACTGTGGGACTTTCTTGCTTTCAATGTGATTGTGCTATCTGGATTCTGTCATCTCGCTATCTCTCATTTTCCTTGCAATTTGGTATCGGAGCAGGTTCGAACCACTCCGCTGGTTCCTTCACAATTATAGCTGTTTGGTGCTTCGTTGGGAAATGGCGGGCCAGTGATAATGCTTGTGTGTTGGTGTATAGGCGGCCCTGAGTCGTGAGGGTGCGCCTGGAACGCTATGTGGTGACATAGGGGTGCACGCTGGATGATAAGAGCTTGCTGACATGGCAATTTAAGCGGAGGTCGAACTGCATTGCATTGTGGGTTGTGCCTAGCCATCGACTGGTCATCATAAATGCACGATAGGGTACTGGTGAGAAATCTGTGGTTGGGGGCAGCATGACGAGGTACGTTGCTCCTTACCTTATCTACCCTCTTCGTTGCTTCTTACGATGAGGAAGTGAGTCCTGTCTTGAGAGTCCTCTCATTGTGAGGTGTTGTGAGCGCTAAACCTTGAGAGTCGACATTCTTCTGGTAAGCAAGCTGGTGGGAGACCGGCGTTGCCTCTGACACTATTGGTTAACGGGGACCCCCACTTTTCGGCCCTGGGTAACCATGAATGATCCTGAAATTAGGGTTTCGGGGTCCTGGACAAAGCACTCGGGTCACGGTCACCATGCCAACCTGATGGGACTAGTACACGCATGCTTTGCCACTTGTCCTTTGGTCTACTTGCTGCACTGTAGAGGTCATGTCGGGCAGGCCAGCCCTATGAGAAAGAGGACCATCTATAAAAAGACTCCAATATAAAAATAGTATCGACGGGGCTGGCCGGTCTGGTACTGACTTGGGGCACATGGGTGGGCCGATTGCACACCTTTAGACACGCCGTCTGAACCAGAGCTACAGGATGTCGACACAAAGTGACCACTCAAGAGGGATATAGGGGGAGGGAAGATTCCAGTAATTGCCCGATCGTTCAATATTGTAATATTTCCATTCAGCATGCATTTCAACAAACGGTTTTATTTTTATTTTTTATTAGTTAGCTGTGACGGACTGCTAACAGCTAACAGACTGTTGCAGATAGAGTGATTGTTTATTCTTGCTGCAAGCATCTGTTTCAGACTAGTCAAAAGTAAGAATAGAATTGTTTGCAGGGGTCTGATATTATCTGCCGTTACTGCTTGACTGCTTCCTGATAAATGTGGACAGTATATTTAGTTCTATACATTAAGCAGTTGGGGTGCCACACTGCGGTAGGTCCCAGCGAGGACACTAGTTCAAATTGTACGCCACGTGTAGCTCTGGGGTGAAGATGGCAGTGAGGTTGAGGCACATAGACTAGGACGAGGGGAGGATTGCCTGTGGACAGGCACTTTGTCGGCCAACCACTTGCTTGGTGTTAAAGCCAGGCGAGGAAAGGAGACAGCGAAGAGAAGCTGAGGAACGAAAGGACTCGCAGAATATACAGGTGGCAGCAGCCAACGCAAAGATGGCACTAGCAGCTGTAGCAGCAGCGCACGTTAGAGCCAAGGCTGAGGCAGCAAAGGCTACCGTTTCTGCAATGTCCCTGGTCTCTTCCTAGGCCTCTTCGATAGGTGTTAGTCAGGGCATATCAAGGCCTTTCACTAGTTACTCTGTTGGCGTGCAGGACCGTCAACAACAACCCTTGTCAATGGAGGACGTTGAGATTAGAGAAACGGATGCCCTTCACACAGAGTTACATCGTCAGATACAGGAGGGAGAGGATAGACGAGACAGAGCTAGAAGAAGAAAGCCTAGACTAGAGGCGAGGGAGGTGAAACTAAATAGGGTAGAAGCTTTGTATGTGGAAGCCCCTCATGAGCGGACACACCGGTCCAGTCAGTGTGGCCGAAGTACAGGCCGTGTCTTAGGAAGTGCTGGCCACATTGATAGCCGGTCAGAATCAAATTCTGGCTGTGCAGAGAGGCCCCAAGCCTACGGTGAGGCATGCGCAACCCGTTGTAGTTCCCCCAACGGTGGTCGGTGCGTCCGTGTCATTGCTGCCTATGAGTGGTCTCTTGGTACCTCAGTACGACATAATTCCAGCAGGCGGTTCATCAGTAGATAGTGGTGGCAGATTCCAGGATCCGCTTCATTTGTCCCCATATCAACTCCTGCAAGTATAGTGCAGCAGCCGGGCCAGCGGCTTGTGCAGCAGGTTAGGCAACCTGTTCCGCCGGTTCAGTCACCGGGTCAGCAGGCACAAGTGGTTGGTCCACAGCCAGAGACACACATCTAGAGAAGGGAGAAAATGTTGCTGCAGCAAGGTAGTTGGATGGGTAGGCACAGGGCGATGGACACAACCATGGTCTTGACTCTTGGGCTAGGGCCAAGTGTCTTGATCAGTTTCTGTTGACAGGGGAAACTAGTTGTGTTGCTGGGGTCGCTGTGCAATAACCTTGTTTCTCTTCGCGACTCACATTAGATGCCTAGCTACTGGAGAAGGAAGCGAGTCCAACCAGGCTACAAACGATTCCTGTTCTCCTAAACAGCTTAGGCTTGGACTACGAGGCCGAGCTAAGTAACACGAGTAAGGGCATGGATGATAGGCGGAAGAAGAAGCCACCCCGGGATAGACAGAAGGACGAGCTTGGGGTACAAACAGAGCAAGTAGACAGACATGAAACCAAAGGGAGGAGTGTTGGCCATGTGTAGTTAGGTTGAGGCGACTGGTTTGCGGAAGGGCAACCAGTCTGGGAGTCAAGGGAAATGTCCTGCTTTGTCCATGAGGATGAGGGAGGGTCTTAGATGTGCGGATAGACCGGCTTGAAAGGGGCACCAACAAAGTGTATGGCATGAATGGCCAAACCAAGGCGAGGGGTCCAGTCCAGTTGGTCACCACGGGGATGCAGCCGAAAGAGGGGTAAGGCACCTTCAACCTAGGGAAGCACTGTGAGCACTTCCTTGGGAAGCACATCCGGCCTGTAGAAGTAGTAGCCTCTTCTGCTCTTGTTGAGGTGGTGGGATCCCTTACCATCTCAAAAGACGGCCTAGGTTACTGACTCCTTAGTCACCCCGCAGGCACATCTGGACCACACGAAGCTCTGTTCATGGGGTGTGTCCAAGTCCTTAGAGGAGCTAGATGGTGAGACCTGCTAGCTGCCTGGGTGACCAAGTGAAAGGTTCCAAGGATCTGTTAGACGACAATGTAGGTGGCCGTGGGACTTGCGAACATTGTTCTACCTAAGAGTCCTAAGACTACATTAGTCACATTTGTTTGATAAG